TACACTTTAAGCTCATCAAGAGTGTTGGGTCTTGTGTCTTAAGCTCATCAAGAGTGTTGGGTCTTGTGTCTTAAGCTCATCCAGAGTGTTGGGTCTTGTGTCTTAAGCTCATCCAGAGTGTTGGGTCTTGTGTCTTAAGCTCATCCAGAGTGTTGCGTCTTGTATCTTAAGCTCATCCAGAGTGTTGGGTCTTGTGTCTCTCAACTTCCTCTTCACAATATCCCACAGATTCTCTCTGGGGTTCAGGTCAGGAGAGTTGTCAGGCCAGTTGAGCCCAGTAATCCCATGGTCAGTAAACCATTTACCAGTGGTTTTGGCACTGTGAGCAGGTGCCAGGTCGTGCTGAAAAATGAAATCTTCATGTCCATAAAGCTTTTCAGCAGATGGAAGCATGAAGTGCTCCAACATCTCCTGATAGCTGCATTGACCCTGGCCTTGATAAAACACAGTGGACCAACACCAGCAGCTGACATGGTACCAGACCATCACTGACTGTGGGTACTTGACACTGGACTTCAGGCATTTTTGGCATTTCCTTCTCCCCAGTCTTCCTCCAGACTCTGGCGCCTTGATTTACGACTGACACGCAAAATTTGCTTTCATCTGCAAAAAGTACTTTGGACCACTGAGCAACAGTCCAGTGCTGCTTCTCTGTAGCCCAGGTCAGGCGCTTCTGCTGCTGTTTCTGGTTCAAAAGTGTCTTGACCTGGGGATTGAGGCACCTGTAGCCCATTTCCTGCACACGTCTGTGCACGGTGGCTGGGAGTTTTTAAAAGCCTCAGGAATCTTTTGCAGGTGTTTAGAGTTAATTTGTTGATTCAGTTGATTAGGTTAATAAGTCATTTAGAGAACGTTTTCATGCTATACTAATTTTTTGAGATAGGGATTTTTGGTTTTTCTTTACTTTTTTTTTTGCCAAAATCATCAATATTAAAACAATTAAAAAGCTTGAACAACTTCAGTTGGTGTGCAATGAATCTAAAATGTATGAAAGTTTAATGTTTATCATTACATTACAGAAAATAATGAACTTCATCACAATATGCTAATTTTTTGAGAAGGATCTGTATTGATATCCCAAGAGTCATAATTTTTGTGTTTTAAATGCCCTCTACTGTGTAATAAATGTTAGGTCATCTGGAGGTTTTATTTTATATTTTAATAGATTTTAATGAATAAAATGACGCAGACATCAAATCCTGAAAAAAAAAAATACAAAGGGTTAAGATTAGATATAGATACATGTATACATATACATAGACCATGATCCTGTGTTTCGAACGTAGACCTTGTTCCTGCATACTCAACAAAGAGCATGAACCTGTGCTACAAACAGACTGTGTCCCTGTGTTGACATAGGCCGTGTTCCTGTGCTTTGAACATAGACTGTGTTCAGGTTGATGATGTTGAGGTTGTAAAATGGACCACTTCACCATCCAAATGTGTCCAAATGTTTTCTCTTCCCATTTTGGATCAATTCAATTCTGTTTATTTATATAGCTTCAAGTCACAACATACGTTGTCTCAGGGCACTGTACATAAAAAGAACAATGTAAAGAAGAAACCAGCAGATTGTGTTGAATCACTTCATCACAGTCTCCCATCCTGAGCAAACGGTGGAGAGGAAAAACTCCCTGGTAATCAGGAAGAAACCTCCAGCAGAACCAGGCTCAGGACAGGAGACCATCTGCCTCGACCGGCTGGTTGGAGGACAGGAAAGAGACACAGACAAACACAGAAGAACTGGTCCAGGACTGGTCCAGGTGCACCTTCTTCTGGAAGAGACAAAGAAAAAACATGATAGAAATAATTACAATAAACATGTAGAGAAGAGAGACTAAAGACAACAGCAGAGTGAGGAAATGTGCTCAGTTTGTGCTCCAGCAGTCTAAGTCTATAGCAGCAGAAATGAAGAATAATTCAGGAAACCTAAGTCTAATTTTAGGATTTATGAAAAAGGAAAGTCTTCAGTCTAATCTTAAAGTAGACAGAGTGTCAGCCTCACGGACAGAAACTGGAAGTTGGTTCCACAAGAGAGGAGCTTGATAACTGAAAGCTCTGCCTCCCATTCTACTTTTAGAAACTCGAGGAACCACAAGTAAACCTGCAGTCTGAGAGTGAAGTGCTCTGTTAGGAAAGTATGGAACAATAAGATGTTTAATATATGATGGAGCTTGGTTGTTAACAGCTTTGTATGTTAGGAGGAATATTTTAAATTATATTCTGAATTTGGCTGGGAGCCAGTGGAGAGAAGCTAAAACTGGAGAAATATGATCTCTTCTTCCAACTCTCATTAAAACTCTAGCAGCAGCTTTTTGGATTAACTGAAGACTTCTTTAAGAGTTTTTTGGATGCTCAGATAATAAAGAATTACAGTAATCCAGTCTAGACGTGATAAATGCATGGATCAGTTTTTCTGCATCATTTTTGGACAAAATGTTTCTAATTTTAGTGATATTATGCAGGTGGAAGAAGGCGGTCCTGGTAACATTTTTAATGTGGGGGTTAAAAGACATGTCCTGATCAAAAATAACACCAAGGTTCTTTACATTAGAACTGGAGGCCAGATTAATGCCATCCAGAAGAGGTGACTTTTGACTCTTTCTTCACACTCAGACTGATGTTACATCTGATAAAGTGATAACTATTTGACACAACATTACATCAAAGATAATTGAACTATCCCTTTAGGAAAGTTTGGTTATTAAAAATATCTGTATTCATGAATTTAATGTGGTTAACAGTAGAGTGGTGTTTGCTTTGTGCTGACTCTTTATTTTGAACATACCTTAATGTCATTGTGTTTCCTGGCTCATTCCTTGTAGTTCTAAAGGTACATTTGTTTTTTATTACTTTTCTTCAAAAAAGAAAAATGCCCTTTCTAATAAATTTGTTTTAGAACTCAGTCTACTATATTTTACACATTTGACAAGTAAATTTTTTTCAGATTTACATTTTATAATGAAATGTAGGCCTTGAAGGACTTTGCTGCCTTTTTGTACCCTCAAGTGTCAAATTCAGATCTTCTGAGGAACAGAACTGTAGATGTCTTGATCTGATCTTATGTCTGCATTCAGAGCTCAGTGTGACTTCCTGCTTCCACCAGATCAACTACTGTACATCTGAAGATCTAAAACTGATTTATAACCTTTATGTCAAATAGCTGCGACCGCCATCTGAAGCTGTACTCATGACTTCCACTGAAATCTATCCTGAGTTTCATCAGGTTTTTAACTATCAGAGTTGAATCCAGGTAATTAAAATGTTTGAAGAAAGTTTTGCCCTCAGACTGTGATGAG